TATTAACAGGATAATGGGGTTATTCTTGCTGATATGGCATGTATGCTTTTGTCTAACATCACAAAATATCAAGATATTGCGATTAAACTCTTGAAACTGGAACTTCAAGTGGTTGAGGGATTATCAAGTTCAACAAAGGCAATAAATCAGTTAGTTGATGTATTTGTCAAAGGTGTGAATAGAGCCTATAACAAAGAGGCTGAATTTCATTTTTTAGCAAGCGTGTTTGCAAATTTGACAATGGTATGTTTAACATTTTGTAAATCGTGTTGTATCTATCATGATGACATCTAAGTTATGTTTTCAAAATAGTTACCTCAAGGTCGTGAATACTTTTTGATCAATGCATCATATGATAACGTGACCCCGTTATCAAAACTAATAATATTTACTGAACACCCTAACATCATCCGAAGGGGTGGTGTCATTTCATGTATAAAGTAAGTATATAGTTCGTAGTATATTAATATTGATTTCAATAAAGCATATTTTAACTTTTATAAAGAAATTGTTGTTTTGCAATAGAACATCATTTAGATATGTTGTCGCCATCAAAAATTAATATTCTTCCTTATATTCTTTTACCACTATGTGGTCCTGAAGAATTTGATTTGGATGTGAGTTTTTTTTTTGTTATTTTAAAGACAATTTTGCAAACACTGACAAATATTTTTTGGTTTTGAAATATAAAGGATATGGAAGGAATGCCGGAAGATATTCAATTTTTGCCATCTGATAAGGTACATATAAAATAATTTTATTGTTTAGCATACCTTTTCATATCTCATAACTTTGATTGCATAATTAAAATATACTTAATTCAACTTTGAAGAAACGTGAATCTGATGCGCATCTTAGACAAACTCTTTTGGAATCACTTGTACTTTTAACAACCACTCGACAAGGTCGTATGATACTTCGTCAAAAGAAGGTTTATCCCGTTATTCGTCAAATGCATCTTGTTGAGCAAGATGAAAATGTCTCAATAGTAGCGGAACAGATTGTAAATATGTTAATGAGAGATGAGGGGCCTGAAGAAAATGATCATGATATTTTAGAAATAACACAGAGTGAGCACCCTGATTCAGGCAATGATAATACTATTGAGGAGATTTAAGTGTCGGAATAAACTATGTTAAAAAATAACTATTTTCAATTTCACATAATTGGGTCGAATTCAGTTATATAATAACTTGGATAATAATTTTTAATGACATAGATTCTTAAAGTGTATAGAACTATTTTCACTGCATATAAACACTCTTTATTATTAAGTCAAAATTGACAAAGTTTATCATCTTAAAAGGTTACATGATGTAGGTAACAAATTACATATCTTTATTTATGATACCTTTGTCACGAGAAAGATCCTATATTATATTGAGACATTGACAATTTGAGAACGGTATCCGGTTCGATGATTTTATGCAATGAACTTGTACCAACTCGTCCTTACTTAACCAAATTCAAACTTCTACTAAACAAATTATTTTTAATAACTAATCTGATTTTGATATTCAGCAATAACGTAATCTAATTAACAAAATCCTTCAACACTCAGCTCTTAATTCCTTATATACATTGTCTAATACATTTTATCCCAACTTATTTACTTAAATTCATTGAAAATACCAGATACGTACCACACAGTAAATCGCTCCCGATGTGACACATTTTTTAAGTAATAAAAAAAATCAAAGTCACATTAAATGCACATCACATCTAGTATAAATAATATATTAAAAATTGACCCATATTATTTATCACGTCAGGTCTTTCTTGGAAAGATTTGTAGGAATGAAAAACAGATGACATGTTAATTGAGTAGAAGGATTTTTTATCAAATAAAAAATGGATTGCACCTTAGTCCAAAATTGTTATCACTGAAAATTACGTAATGGAATACCCTTAAGGATGACTAATTTGAGTTTAAAATGAATTGCCACCAGTAGCGTCCACCCTTGAATTACATAATATATTGTTTAAATTTGGACTATTCACGTAGTTTTATCCACAGCATCCGGATGGCATTCTGATACGTATATCCGAATAGTATTCGGAATATAGCAATTATTAAAAATTTATCCGGATTTAGTCCGATAAAAATAAAGGTACTTAATTCAATAGTATAATGTCAATAGTAAAGGGACAAATCATTTTTTAGTAAATTTTTTTTTGATTTTTAAATTAAAATATCTCAACAAATATTAAATCAAAATTGCTAAAAAATTTTTTATTTTAATTTTGGAATTATTTAGAATTAAAATAAAAAATTTTATTAAATTAGAGAAAATAATTACTAAGATATGAAAACTTTTAGACAATGTATTAACTTCACTGAAGATTTCTAAAATCATATGATAATTTGTTTGGAAATACATTTGTCAATTATTTTTGTGATGTAATATTGATACGCTTTCGGAGTATAATTTTCAAGAGTTCTAATTTCCGGACAATAAAATATTTAATTCCGATTTTACAATAAGGTCCTCCACCCTACTCCGGATAAAGAGATCACCATTCCGGGCAATGAGGCAAATACAAAGTCGAAAGTACGTATTAAAAAAACTACAATGAAGTTTAAATAATGTAATAGCAGTAGATTTGATCTTACTGGTGTTTAAACTTGATACATATGTGCATACGTGAGAATCCAAATCGTTATGATTTTAATTAACAGTTAATAATCTAATCGTTATATCTTATTTGATTATGTATATCCAGTTCCTCGGATAAACCGTTAAGGGGCTGGAACTTGTTTTTGTTCAACCGGGTTTAACCGGCCTCTAAAAAACAATTACGTATACATGAACGTAAGTGGTAATTACCATATATGATTACCTTTACAATTTTTTTATGGATAACTACGAACTCGTTCAAGTTTGCTAAACTTTATTTATTCGACAAGTTTTTCAAATACGTAGAACTTTTTATTAATAATACAATACGTATTTATGCTCAAGATTCCTGCATATGGATTACTTCAATTTCCGATGCAACTGGTTGGTTATTCAGGCCTAATTATTGGAGAAAGTTTACTATCACATGATAAATGGCATGGTTTGCGAGCACAACATTCGGAACAATTATTGGTGGTGTCATTTTTAGTAATATCAATATCATAAGGAGTATTTCATCTGATTGGCTAATAATTCAGTTCAATATTTACAAGATTATACTGTTTAAAGTACAACATATCATAAAATAAAGCTTTATTGGAGTTATAGTAATTTTATTTGGTTCTGAAAAGGTTCCAGACGAATGAAGATTAAAGATCTTTTTAACTATGGAATCTCATAACTTTAGTAAAATTCTTTATCTAAAAAAGCATCTATATAAATATAAATTAAATATAAATTAAATTGAAATGATTAGCTAAATTAGTCTGTTCTGTTAATTCGTAACAGTGCTGTTTCGTCATTTGTACCACTTTATTTTTTTAAAGTTCATACGAATTTTTAATCGTATTAAAATATTTATAATTTACCAATTTTATGAACGCACATCCTAGATTGGTCCCAAGCTTGGTCCCAAGCTAAAAACTTGTAAATGCATAAGCTTCCGGAATCCGGACTTATGTGCATCCTTTGTAAGTGCATACCCACATAACTATTAAAAAAAATACTTAAATCTTATTAATATACATATCTTCTCTAAACGCACATCTTATCTTCCTAATAAAAAAATATATTTAAACAATGAACTTATTGCTTAAAAAGTTCTAAATCATACTATATTTGGGTAGGAATGGGTATTTCTCTGCTATAATCCATGCGTCGTTACTTATTTTTATAAACTTAAATACATACGTACATGCTGCATCCCGGATATGACCGTATTTTTCTTAAGCGGGTATAAGGTTTTACGTGTCCATTGTCTAACATCAGTGGAATAATATGAGACGTTGAAGGTTTAGGGTGTTAAAAAAATCACATGTGGGCATTGGTGGTTCATTCGATACAATATTGTGTGAAGTTCGATATTGTATCGTAATACACGTAATACATATTGTACATGCATAGCTTAGCATTGTCACACAGGTCCTACGTAAATTGATAAGCCAAATGTATTTATTAGCTCCAGTTTAGTACATAATTATGTACTGTACCAAACTATTAAAATTACTACGTACGTCTATTTTTTTTTTTTTACGCGTATGTAAATTAAAAAGTAAATTAAAAAGTAAATTAAAAAAAAAAGGGTCTTTTTACTTGAAAATATTTCGGATAAGTATATAATGCTTTAAAAAAGGGAATCTTATTTTAAATATTTCTAGCAAGTTTTCCAGCAAGTAAATTATTTAAAACAAGACATGTAATTTGAAAAGTTTATTACTCGCATATTTCTAATAAAATCAAATTTGGGTTTTCTTTTTAATATTTTCGAAACTTTGATACTGAACCAAATATAGAAATTTTTATTTTGTCTTGAGGCAAGACATCTCACAAATAAAAGGCTAATGTCGATGTATGCGGCTTATACCTATTAAAGTTTATGGAATGGGATGACAAAAATTATTATATACATGCACAAATGCGCCTTAGCCAGTTAATTGTCGGATGACTAACCGGTTACGGAATTTTCAGATGTATGACCATTAAATTGCATAGTCACATTTTTTAATAGATTTTCTATAAAGAATATAGAATATTCTGAGTGGGTATATTCCCGGAATTAGAAGTACGAAAGAATAATCCAAAGAAAATTCTTTGATGAACATGATTGCACTATGGAATTCTTTGTTATACTTGTAATACTGTTGTATTCCCCTGCTGATCTTTGAAACAAAACCTATTTATATGTCCAAATCGGCATCACACCACATCCAACAAACCCTTTGCTTTCATAAATCTTGAATTCTATATACTTCGTTTAATTTTGTAAAGATATTTGTAAAAAATTTTGCTAAAAATTCTATAATAAAAAAAGAGAAAATGGAAATGACAACCGATAATAATAATAATATGGATATTAACAATTTGTTGAATAATGTTGTTCCAATGTTGAATAATAATAATGGAACTGTACCAATGGACTGTGACAACCCGAGAAATCAATTTCAAACCACCCCGGGAGATGTAGCTAGAGCAGTTGTACATAATGCCTTAGAAGCATCAACAAATTTTGTACCTTTTGCTCCATTATTAGACATATTTTTAAAATTAGGTGAAGATATTGTGACATTATACCAAAAGGCTGAACATAATAAACGTTTATGTAATTATCTAACAAAACGGGTAAATTCGGCTGTGGCGGCTGTAAGGGATTTAGAAATTCGAAAACAAGATAGCGCGGATTTTTTTATGGAACAAGCTAATCTTCAACTTATAAAAGATTTTTTAAAATGTATGCTTGATGTTAGAAAATTCATTACTGATGTTTCTCAGCTCGGTTCATTTGGTAACTTCTTTCAGGCTGGTAATATTGTACAAAAGTATAAGGATTTATCGGGTAGATTTGATGGATACATGGCATCTTTAAATCTCGCGATAAACAAAGCTACGTATAGTTATGTTCAAAACATAAATCATAATGTTGAAGAATTGAGAAAATTTGATTTAGAGGTTGAACTCAAATCTATTAAATCTGATTTGGTTGAAATGAAAAAGGTGTGTTATATATCTATATATATTTTTTCTTTTTCTTGTGATTTGATTATCAATCATTCGTTCAATACTTATTCATAACATTTATTTCATCTACTTTAGTTCATGTCTGATATGGCCGCCGATGGTAAAACTGGTTCAGACGAAACTACCTTTACAGATATCAAAAGAATTAGAGAATTAAACAACCGTTATCAACGTGAACAACGTAAAGGCAATGAAATCACAATTGAGCCTGCAAACCTTTTAAAATTAGACGATTACGAACCTAAATATGAATCTGAACCCCGTGGTAAAACTATTCACTGTAGATGGAATAATACGTTCCTTTTAGAATATGCATTTAAAGAAATTCCTCAGATCAGTGATGAACAAACTGAAAAAGAAATTGGTCAACAAGTTGCTATTCTTAAAGAATTAAAAAATTCAGAGCACATTATTAAGTTTTATGGAATAGCAAAGTCTAGTGATGGTTCAAAATTTTATTTGGTAACAGAATGGATGGAAAATGGTACTTTACAAGAATATTATAAAAAATTTACATTGAATTGGACTCAAAAATTCGAATTTGCAATTGATATTTGTCGTGGAATTGCTTTCTTAAATGCTGTCGAGGTATAACAAAATTTCCATTCAATTTTAAACTTGATTTTTTATATTAAATGAATATTATATAACTAATGTTATATTTTCATAGATCTTACATCACGATATTAGAGGTGCAAATATTTTAATAAGTGGAAATCACAAGGCTAAAATTGCTAATTTTGGTTTAAGTCGTAAGTTCAGAGATATTACTAGAAATATTCAAGTAAATCTTGAGAATGTAAGATATATGGCTCCCGAGAAATTAGAACATGGTGATAAAAAACGATATACTGTTAAATGTGAGATTTATAGGTATATATATTATCAAAGCATTAAAAAAAAAAAAAAAATTATAAAATTTACATTATTATAATTTAATCTAAATCAATATTTAGTTTGGGAGCTCTTTTATGGGAAATTGCTGAAGAAAAAGCACCTTATACGAATGAAGGAATAGATTTGCAAACTATTCGATACCGTGTTGTAAAAGAGAAATATCGTGAACCATTTTATTCAGATGTACCCAAAGTTTGGCGGGACATTACATATGCAGGTATTATTATTGTTATTCAATTTATTAAAATTAACTTTTAAACCCATAAATCTTTAATTATACTAATATATATTTATTTATCTATCTATTTATTTATTTGTTTAAAGCTTTAAGTCACGATCCAGATTTTCGTCCAACAATTTCTAAAATATTTACAATACTTTTTGATTACCATCACAAAGATGAAAAAAGACCTCCTCCAACTGTGGATGAATTTGAAACAGAATTTGTAATTGATGATGATTTTATGACTGTAGAAGCTGCAGTTAAGGAGCATCGAAAACCCGATGGCAATAAACGAAAAGCATGGGATTGCTTCAACCAATTCGCTAATCAAGGTGACGTAGACGCAAAATATTGGGTTGGTTATTATCTATATCACTCTGTCCTTCCTGAACATAAGGACAATCGTCAAGAAAATCTTCAACGTGCTGCAAGATTGTTTAAAGAAACTGCTGATTGTGGTAAAGTTGAGGCTCAACTCCGATATGGGTTCTGTTTATGGCAAGGCGATGGTGTTCCAGCAGATTGGGATGAGGCTATGAGATATCTAAAATTGGCTGCTGATAATGGAAATCCTACGGCTATGTATAATGTTGGAAGTGCTTATTGGATTGGAAAAGGTGTAGTTAAAGATCAGGAAATTGGTTCAAAGTACTTAAAAATGGCTGCTAAGAAAGATCAACATAATGCTATTTCTATGTGCAAGAAACTCGGAATTACTTTTTAAAAAAAAATTTTGGCTTACTTTATTTAAACCATCATTATATAATAGCCAATTTATTGGTGACTTTATACGATATTGATATGCGAAATTGTGAGTACTGTATTATTAAACATACTAATATATTTAAATATTTAAATATTTAAAATATTTAAATACTACAATTCACATATTGCATGTAAAATAAAATGTTATTATCGAAATCACCAATATATTTTAGAAATTTTGATTTTTTAATCTCTTTACATTCATAAAAAATTAAATCCGATTATATAGATTTTATCAAGTTCCATACAAATAGTTGAAATTTTTATGTTTTATTTCTTTCATCAATTCACAAGCTTTAATTTTTATGTAAATATAAATTAGTTTTAGTCGTTTATGCATTTATCCTTCGTTGATATATTTTACACTAATAAAATATTAGATACCGTAATAAATTTAACATTATCAGTTATATTAGTTATTTTGTTATTGAATTAAAATCGATTAAATAATTGCATCAGGAAATTATATATACTATATTGAATATTAAGGATACGTAATACCTAGCGAAGGGAATTTCTAATTGTTAATTACGAATTGTTAACGATAAAAAATTAAAAATTACCGTATTTTATGGGCCAAACACCCCCCTGTCGGATTTTGCGGATATTTTAATGATGCATATCGGATTTGTATCACTACAGACAATTGCCGTTGTAATTATTACAACAATTGCCGTTATGTCATTATTACAACAATTACCGTTACCAAGTAGCTGTTCACAATTTAAATTAAAACAGAGTATTTGTTATTTCACCATTAAATTTTGTCATATATAATTTAGAAGATAATATAATTTGCTTTATTTTCTCTAGCATATAATTTTTATTTTGATAATTGTAATAAAAGAGATTTATAAGAACAAATGGATTCTTTTATTTTTAACTAGTGAATTATGTCTTTTTTATGAGAACAAATGAATCTTTTGTAAATTTTTTTAGTTATATTTATAAGAACAAACAGATCATTTTTAGTTATATTTGTGAGAACAAATGGATCATTTTATAATAAATATTATATATATATGACACAAAAATGATCCTTTTTTTTAAAAAAAATAACAACTTTATATAATAAAAGTATTTCTAAAACATATATAACAAAAAAATTAAAAAGAAAATGAAATGCTTATAAAAAATTAAACATTATTACTTACTATGAACAAAGTAAAACAAAACTATGTATTAATGAAATATATAAAGTTTTTAGAATCTAATTGAATCAATTACATGACTAGATAAATAAAAAAGATGAATTAATTAAAACTTTACTAAAAACATTTAAATTATATAACAGACACCTACTTCATCATCCATAAATTGAAACAGTTTTAGTTAATTAGATTATGGATCAATGTCAATTATAAAATGCTATTACTAGAGAGATAATAACTGTAAAGATAATTTCACTTACAGGTTACTTAAATCTTCAATTATTCAAGGCATCAAGTAACTGACTTGATGGTTTCTTGAATCATCATAATTTATCACTTCAATATCAGACAACTGTTTTACAAAAACTATCTAAAGATTTAGAAGAACAACAATATAATTTTCTTAATTATATTTTAAATCTACAAATTCATTACAATTATCTCTTATGCTTAATAGAAAATATGAACCAAACTCTCATTATATTTGATTCATCAAACCATCAATAATCGAAACTTGAAAAACCTATATTATTAGTATTTAAACTATTGACTATGTAAAAAAAATTTTACAGTTATTCTTATGTGTCTAACTAATGAAATAAAACTAACATCTATATACATTTTTAAAAGAAAAACCTTATCTCAAGAGAATTTTCTTTATAATGTTTTTGTTCAAATTAATGAAAAAGGTTGGGTTAATGAAAATGAAATATTATAGTAGATCAATAATATTTGAGCTAGAAGAGCATCTAACAATTCATGATTTCTTTTAATACTTAATTCATTTCATATATATTTAATAAATCTAATTAAAGAATGTTTGTTTATTTATAATACAAATATGGCTGTGATTCTCAGTGAACTTACATCTAACTTACAATCACTGGATATTAGTATTAATAAAAGTTTCAAGTCAAAAATCCAGGTACTTTTCAATCATTAGATGTCAAAACAATTTATGAACAAACTCCTTTATAATGTATTAAGAGACTATTATATTTATTACTTGTCTTATGAATAGAAGTTGCCTGAGATTCACTTAAATAAAATTTAATTAAATATTCATTTAATTGTTATAAAATTTGATTTTTTTTTTGTCATTTTTTGTTAGCATTGTTATATATAAATAAACTATTATATATACTATTTAAATATCTACATAACTGATAATTATTTTATAACAAAGGGTAGTTTGGTCTATAAAATATTGTAATTAATAATTTAACAATAATTTTTAAGCAATTAATTAATGAATTTACCAATATGCATAAAACATCATTATAGAAAATAGTTAATAATTATATTAATAATCATTTGTATTTATTTAGTATTGTGATGAATAAACAGTGAGTTTTTCACTTTAATAAACAAAATCTCATATAATAATACTAATTCAATAGATCAAGGCTTTGAGGTGTAAATTTGATTTGGGTAAGTATTTTAATAATAAGTTTCTTTATTTTATTTAATTTCTTTATTTGATATCCAACTAAGTATCCTATAAACTATTTAATATTATTATCTAAAGATTTCAACTCTCTTTATACTACTTGAAGGCATCAAAAAATAAGTATTTTAATTTAACTTCTGCTTTTGCTTTTATACACTTTTTGTTTACACTAACTAATGCTATCTGTTTTAGGTTTTACTTCTACTTTTTTTATTATTCTGCTATATTACAATATTACCAACATGGGTTTTATCTAAACTGAGTAAGTATTATACTCTATACATTTGTGTTTTTACTTTATTTTTAATGTGCTTTACTAGTCTGTCCTTCTATTATTTTAAATTTTACTACTTTGAACTATTATAGTCATAGTGTAATGCCTTTTTCTATTTGGACTTATCTGACTTGTCTGGTATGTCTTAACATAAGGGCTCGATTATGCATGTTTTGCTATTTTGAAGATCAATCATGTATATATAATCATGGGTTCTGATCATTATTCATGCTATATATCATTATACATAAATTATTACATTTTTCTGACTCATGACAGTATATTCAACTGATAATTAATAAATACTTTACAGAAACCTAGTATTTTGTAACAAATTGTTAATATATTGTTACAAATTAGTTACAAAATTGTTATAATTTTGTTACAATTAATTTTATTAATATGTAGCTATTATTTTATTTTGATATCTTGTCTAAATCATAAATAGATCATATAAAAATTGTAACTATATTATTAAAATATTATAATAAGTAGTTGTAATGATTTAAATTTAAAATTATAACTTTATTATTTTAATATTATTACAATTTTGGCAAGAAATTATTTTTATATTGTTACTATATTATTAATTAAATTGTTATAAAGTTGTAGCAATTTTATTATAATCTTTTTACAATATCAAATAAATATTGGTTTAATTTTTAAATTTTTTATAACAAATTTATATACAGAAACCTAAATATCATTACTATATAGTAACTATATAGTAACTATATAGTTACTATGCAGTTACAGTATATAAAGATATTCAAGTTTTTGTAAAAAAGGTTTGAGCTAATATAAATTAAATATATAGCAGTTAAATAATGATAAAGCAACTATATATAAAAATTTTTCTAACTTTCATTAATTTTATTTAATTTTAATTTTATATTTTATAAATTTATAGATTATATAATAAACTTAAAAAATATATGATATAAATAAAGTATTATAAAATGAATATATTGATGTTTGAAAAATTCACAAAGTTTATAGTCATTTTTGAAAAAATTATATTTATAATAGTTCAAAGATTGGTTTTTATTTTAAATTGATATTTTTTTTTATAAAAATCTTTTAAAAATTAACTAATAAAAACTATATATAAAGTTACAAAAAGTTTTAATAATTTAAAAAAACACTATTTTTAGTTTAATATATTGAAATTTATTAATCTTGAGAAAATTGAAAAATGCTTATAATTACCAATTATAGACTTTTGGCACCATATCAAGATCAAATTTATATATCCCTTAGATTGTAGGCCAATACAAGCAAATTTGTCTACATTTTTGTATTTTTTTAACTCTGATCTACTTTTTTAAATTGTTAAAATATATAAATAAAATTTAGTATAATAATATTTGAAAATAAGGATTACTTTTTTGCAGTATTTATTTTTAAATTATAAGAAAAAAAA